ATAATAAAAATAAGAAAAAGATGAAGATCAAAAAGAATAAGAAGAAAAAGAGAAAGAAGAAGAAAAAAGAGAAAGAAGAAGAAAAAGAGAAAAAGGAAAGGAAAGGAAAAAGGGAAAAGGAAAAAGGAAAAAGGAAAAGGAAAAATGAGATCCTTCCAATCACTGCAAGAAGGAAGGTGTGAGCTTTGAAAAATTCCTGCAAGTAACCGGTGTGTCCCAGGCGGGATCTCAGGCGTCGGGAAGGATGCGATGGCTGCAGAGGAGGGTCCCAGGCAAAACCCACCTGCCCCTTCCTGGAGCTTTCCCCAAATTTTTCCTCCGATGTCAGCTGTACGAGCAAACGTTCTGTCTCGGGGAGACATCGCCCATCGCTGCCAGCTTTAAATTTCCACTTCAGGCCATTTCTGTGCCTCTGGGAGGATGAAATGAAGCTCAGGGGACGATGCAGGTACCGCTCACGACACTAAAAGATGCTAACCAGTTCATTAGTTCCAATTGTTTCCTGCAAACCCATTTTTCACCAAACGATTCGGAAAAAAGTCCAAAGCTCTCCATTTCGCCACGGAACGAGACGCCTCTTTTCACCCTTTATTGCCATTTTTTACACCAGGCACCTGCTCCGGCGCTTGCATCCGCGGGAGGAAAATTCTCCCTTCGGACCTGACAAAGAGAAACTCCTCATCCTGCTCCTGCCCCAGAAATTCAAAGAACTTCAACAAAAAACCACCCCGGGCTGTGGGATGCCCAAATTTCCAGGCAGTGCTTTGGGGGGGGCGATGGGCAGTGTCAGGATATGGAGCAGGGAGCGTGATGGGATGCTCCCCCCCCAATTTTCCTCCTTTCCCCGTATCCAGGGATGCTGGGTTGGAAACAGAGAACGCCGGCTGACGTAAGGAAAGCGGAGGACCCCCGGGGTCACCCCCGCACCGCACGCCTCCAACATCTCCCTTTTGTTTTTCTGCTGCCAGTTCTTGTTCCTAAGGAGCATCCTATGCAAACGGGGCGAAACCATGGAAACCACCCGGTAATACCGGCATCCTGCCAGCCGGGTCCTGGGCAGGGAGGGCAGCGCAGCCCACCGGGCACCCCCCCTTTCCCCAGGGCATCACCTTCAAACTCAGGATGGAGGAAAAAGCCTTTTTTTTTTTTTTTTTTTTGTCAGGATTAATATGGAGCCAAACCCAGCATGGGGTTTTTTTTTTTTTTTCTCCCCCCAGCCCCTCTCTGAGCACCTTCCACCTCCCACCACCAACCGCACACATCACCCCCCGATTCCCGGAGATGGGGATTTAGGGAAAAGCCCCTCCCCGGGGTAAAGTCATGGGGAGAAGGGCCGGAGATGGGTTGTTGCCTCTCAAGGATGTCCCCGTGGATGTTTTTCCTTGCTTTTCTCTTCTGTGTCCAGCCAAGCCACGTGGGATTTTCCCATCCCCGAGG